GCTCCCTGGTCTCTGGTCTCCCTAGGTCTCTGCCTGCCCTCCCTCCCTCGCCTGCGCCGCCCTGCATTCCTTGCGTCGAGGGGCGGCAACGCGCCGCTCCTCACTCCTCCTCGTTTCCTCCCACAGAGGCTCCACTGCAGACGCTCCACCTGGACGTGTGGGGCCCAGCCCGCGTCCAGGGACAGGGCCACGAGCGGTACTTCCTGCTGGTTGTCGACGACTACACGCGTTACACCACGGTCTTCCCCTTGCGGAGCAAGGCGGATGTCCCTGCTGTTTTGATCCCCTGGATCCGCGCAGTTCGTCTCCAGCTCCGCGAGCGGTTCCGGTCGGACTTTCCTGTCCTGCGTCTGCACTCTGACAGAGGTGGTGAGTTCTCCTCCGACCTCTTGGCAGCCTACTGTGCGGAGCACGGCATCACCCAGTCGTTCACGCTTCCGGCCTCTCCGCAGCAGAATGGGGTTGCTGAGCGCCGCATTGGCTTAGTCATGGAGGTCGCTCGTACCTCCATGATCCATGCGGCTGCCCCCCATTTTCTGTGGCCGTTTGCGGTCCGGTACGCCGCGCATCAGCTCAACCTCTGGCCCCGTGTCTCCTTGCCGGAGACCTCGCCCACACTGCTGTGGACGGGGAAGGTTGGCGATGCGTCGCGTTTCCGGGTCTGGGGTGCTCGTGCCTTTGTCCGCGATACCACTGCGGACAAGCTCTCCGCCCGTGCAGTTCCCTGTGTCTTCCTTGGCTTTGTCCCTGACGCGCCTGGTTGGCAGTTTTACCACCCCACCTCGCGCCGTGTCTTTGCGTCTCAGGACGTCACGTTCGATGAGTCGGTTCCCTTTTACCGTCTCTTCCCCTACCGCACTGCCCCTCTCCCTCCCCCGCCGCTCTTCCTCGCTCCGGGTGCTCCCCAGGTAGACCCCCTCCCCGCTCCCGGTCCTGCTCCTTCAGGTGTGTCTCAGGTAGACCCTCCTCCCTTCCCTGCGCCGGTCGAGGTCACTGGTGACTCAGGTCCTACTGGGGGTGGTCCTGCTCGGGGTGCTACTTCTGGGGGTGCTGAGCCTGGGGGTGCGGAGCTTGAGAGTGTGGAGCCTGGAGGTGCTGAGCCTACGTGTGAGGGGTCTGGAGGTGCTGGAGCTAGTGGTTCTGGGGCTGCTGAGGGTGCGGGTGCTGGAGGTTCTGGAGCTGCTGGAGGTCCTGGTGCTGGTGGCGCTGGAGCTGGTGGTTCTGGGGCTGCTGAGGGTGCGAGCGCTGGAGGTTCTGGAGCTGCTGGAGGTCCTGGTGCTGGTGGCGCTGGAGCTGCTGAGGGTGCTGGCGCTGAGGGTTCAGAGTCTGCTGTTGCGCGGTCTCCTTGGAGTAGCCGCCTTCGTCCCCGTGTGCCTCTCACCTCGCAGCAGCTGCACGACTGGTACGGTCGCCGTCAGGGTCGCGCTGCTGGAGCCCGGGGCTCTGCTGCTGGAGGTACTTCTGCTGACGTCCCTGGAGCTGCGCGTCGTGAGCCTGCGTCGCGTCCTGTCTCGCCTGTTCGTCCTAGTCGTACCGGTCGTCGTGTTCCTCGTCCGCGTCAGCCGGCTGTCCCCGGCACACGCCTTGTAGCCCTGCGTCGGTCCCCTACTCCGGAGCGTACTCCTCTTCCGTCTCCCCCTGCGTCCTCTTTGCCTGACGTCGCGGACCCTGAGTCTGACCGGTTTCGTGCTGAGCACCCTACTGTCACGCGTCTGCTAGCCACTGTTGTCACTGACCCCTCGTTTGAGTCTGCTGCTGCGTCTGCCCTGGTCGCTGAGCTTGTTGACTTTGCTGCTGCCTGTCGTCTAGACTACGCTGCTAGTCTTGTTGCTGAGTCAGAGTCTGTCTGTCCTCCGTCCGTCGGGGGTGAGTGTGCCCTTGGCACGGACGTCCTTGAGGACAGGCACGAGGACCTTGAGTCTCTTGCAGCCGCTGTGCCTCATCTCGTGGCCATGCTGCTTGCCCCTGAGGGAGACCCGGATGCTATAGACATCCCCACACCGCGCTCTTACGCTGAGGCGATCGCGGGTCCCTACTCCTCTCAGTGGCAGGCAGCCATGGACGCAGAGATGGCATCCTGGAAGTCCACAGGCACTTACGTCGATGAGGTTCCCCCTCCCGGGGCGAACATCGTCGATGGCATGTGGATTTTCAGGGTGAAGCGGCCGCCAGGTTCTCCGCCTGTCTTCAAGGCGCGTTACGTTGCTCGAGGCTTCAGTCAGCGAGAGGGAGTTGACTTCTTCCAGACCTTCTCCCCTACCCCGAAGATGACTACTCTTCGGGTGCTGCTGCACGTTGCCGCTCAGCGTGACTACGAGCTTCACTCTCTTGACTTTAGCACAGCTTTCCTACAGGGCAGCCTGCACGAGGAGATCTGGCTGCGCCGCCCACCTGGCTTCACTGGGACGTTCCCTCCTGGTACCCAGTGGAGCCTCCGCCGACCAGTCTACGGTCTCCGCCAGGCACCCCGTGAGTGGCACGACACACTGAGGACTACCCTTGCGGCTCTTGGGTTTGCGCCTTCGACTGCTGACCCTTCACTGTTTCTACGCACCGACACTTCGCTGCCGCCGTTCTACATCCTCATGTACGTCGACGACTTGGTCTTTGCTACTGCTGACACTGAGGCCCTCGCCCTGGTGAAGTCCGAGCTGCAGAAGAGACACACGTGCACAGACCTGGGTGAGCTGCGCAGCTACCTTGGCTTGCAGATCACCCGGGACCGAGCACGCCGCACCATCACACTGACTCAGTCACACATGGTGCAGCAGGTCCTTCAGCGCTTCGGCTTCACCTGGTCCTCAGCACAGGCCACTCCTCTGGCTATAGGTCACTCGCTCTCAGCTCTGCCTTCGGATGAGTCCGTAGAGCCAAGTGGTCCTTACCCAGAGCTAGTGGGCTGCCTCATGTACCTGATGACTTGCACTCGTCCTGACCTTGCGTACCCTCTTGGCCTTCTGGCTCGCTACGTGGCTCCTGGTCGGCACCGAAAGGTGCACTGGGATGCTGCGAAGAGGGTACTGCGCTACTTGTGCAGTACATCAGGCATGGGGCTCGTGCTTGGAGGACGGCGAGAGGTGGTCCTCACTGGGCACTCAGACGCTTCTTGGGTTGACGACCAGGCTACGCAGCGGTCGTCACAGGGTTACACTTTCAGCCTTGGCTCTGGTTCTGTTTCTTGGCGTTCTACTTGCTCGTCTTCTGTTCTCAGCTCCAGTTGTGAGGCTGAGATCTACGCCACCGCCATGGCTGCTCAGGAGTTGCGCTGGCTCACCTACCTGCTGACCGACCTGGGAGAGCGGCCTCGTTCTCCTCCAGTTTTGTACGTCGACAACAAGGCTGCCATTGCCTTGTGTGAGGAGCACAGACTGGAGCACATAACGAAGCGCATTTTCTCTGCGGTACTTTCTGGCTCGAGAGTTGCAGCAGCGTGGTCAGCTTCGTCTTGCACACGTGGCCACTCGGGCCAACACTGCTGATATATTCACCAAGGCACTTCCGTCTGGTGATCATCAGCGCTTTTGTACTTTGTTAGGCCTTGTGCCTACGTTTCCACACTTGCTGTAGTCTTTTGTGTGTACTGTGCTCTATATTTATACCTGCATGCTTGCTCTTGCTAGGTATTGATCACTGTACTGCTCTTGTTGCTTATATATATCTCTGCATGTGGACTGGCCTTGCGGCCCTTTGCTTGTGCTCAGAATGTGTGGTGATCTTGAGATCCACCCTGAGCTTGTTTTGCGTCTCTTGACTGGTCGTGTGACCCCTTGTTCTCCCCCACTTTGCCTATGGGGGTGTGTCAAACATATATGCTGCATATTGTCTAGGCTGTAGTGGGGTAGCCCATATGGGGTACAACCTAATTAGGGTTTCCTACTTATACTTCTGCATGCTGTTAGTTCATCATTCCTGTCTCTAGATTCTAACAAGGGGCGCTAGCGAGTAATCTCCCTCCCATGGTAGCTTCCCGGGCAGCAAGGGCTCTCTTTGAAAAGAAGTAGCGTGTGGGGGGTCGATTCTTGAGGCGCCTCAGCAACTGCGGCAGTTTGAAGGCCAGTAGAAGCAGCACTGCCAGTGGAAGCAGCAGCAGCAGCAGCAGGTTTTGAGGCGCCTGCAGAGCAGACAGCGCCACCCCCACCACTGCAGCGCCTGGTGGTTCACATGGTGGGTTGTGGAAAGAGAGAGTGGAGCGAGTTGGTTCTGGGCATAGTGGATGAGGGAGCGGGATGAGTGGGAGAAGGTGATGTGTGCAATCACGAAGGGAGCTCGGCTGGTGGTGTGTGCATAGACGCACGAGCACACACGATGATGATTAGTGTGGGCAGTGGAGTGGAGGGGAACATGTTGGGCTGCCGAGCACGAGTGCACAGGTCCATTTGGCTGCGAGTGGTGGCAGGCACTGCCGCACTCCCAAGCCAAGGACGGGCAGATAACAGCAAGCTCTGGTGGCGCTGCCACTCTCCCACGGCCCCCTGCCACTCCCCCACGGCCCACAGGCTCTGTTAACCAGGCCGGTGAAACGAGTCGGGCCCGCAAGCCTTTGGGATTGCATACAGGCATGTTGGCATGCAGGCATATTGGCATGCAGGCAAGTTGCCTTTGGAAGACAAGACGCAGGAATGAAGAGCTTATCGCCATAAAGGAAGAGAAGAAAGCAGGCTTCAGCAATTATGCGCACTCAGCAGCAGGCATACCGTGGGAGACGCATGTGCCAGCAGCAGCCCCTGGCGTGTACCCCTCATCACAGTCACAGTGGGCCACAGGTTCACAGTAGGGTGGCGATGGCTTATCGTCATCCTCATAATCATCACAGGCAGTATTGTGGTGAGAGGGGTCCGGCTTGAAGGAGCACACGCCATGGCCGCTACACGGCGGGGCGAGCAGCTGTGCCCCACAGAACGCCCGGCACTCGCTGGCTCGCCTCTGTTGCTCTTCATGGCCGCAGTCGGTTGTGTTGCCGTGAAGGCAGTTGTGGTGGAACAGACACAACATGCGGGTACCTGAAGGGTCTGGTGTGGCCGTGAAGTAGTTGTTGTCAAAATCTAGACCGTATGGCGCAGTGAGATAGGGCATGTGGTCGAAGGTGGGCAGCTCTCCTGTAAGCTGGTTGTTGTCAAGGTGGCTGTGATGCCATGGGAAGGTGGGAGGAAAAGAAGTGGAAAGAGAAGAGGAGAGGTGAGGAAAATAAGCGCGATGGGAACGAGGGAGTGATGGGAGGGGAAAGAGGGAGTGAAGGGAAAGGGGAGTGATGGGACCGGAGTAGCTTGTGCGCGTTGAATGGGATCTTTGTTCCGGTGTACGCTGCGTGAGATTAAGATTGGAGTCATAGGATCCAATGTCTGTACGGGAGCTCTGTGTGGGATCAACGGACACACTTATCCGTTGACACTTTCCATCATCTCTTAGGCTTTGTACAGGGCGCTAAAGAGGGGAATCAATTCAAACGTATCAAGGCATGACATGAGAAAGATGGCTCCTCAGGAGCGATGGTAGACATGGGAGGGAAGGGGAGGGTAAGTGGTGTTTCATGGCGGGTGTGGATGGCAGAAAGGAAGAGACGTGTGTAGACATGGGAGGTAAGATCACTCAACGAGGTTGTTTGTTGAGAATATTACTCAAACACACCACCATTCAGAGATTACCTTCCAGTGTGGTGATGGCAGCTGGAGAGGTACTGACAGGTATTTGAGTTTAGTGAGCGTGGTGATTGCAGCAGGTATCGTCCCTGCAAGGCGGTTGTTGCTTAATTCCCTGACGGCAGAAAGGTGGGTGGATGGACATGGAGGGAAGGAGATACGAAGGGGAGAACAGAAAAGAAGAGGGGAAGAGAAGAAGAGGAAAACATGAGAACAGGGGGAGAGGGAGAAAGGAGAAGAGGAGAAGAGGGGAAAAGAAGTAGGGGGGTAAAGGAAAACAGGTGGCGAGGGGAGGAGAAGGATAGGAAGAGAAGAAGAGGAGAGGGCAAGAAGAAGGCAGAGAGGGGCACCCTTTCAAATGCCCAACGCTCAGCAGAAAGAGGCAGGTGGGAAGAAGTGTGTGGAGGGAGATTGGACGCACAGAGTGGTGAGTGCGGTGAGGTTGCCAATGCAGGCAGGAATGGTGCCACTCAGGCTGTTGTCCTTCAGCTTCCTGCCATGGCATGGCATGGCATGGCATGGCATGGCATGGGATGGCATAACAAGGCATGGAATATGATGGGATGAGATGGTATGCCATGGGATGGGAAAGTATGGCATGGCATGGGATGGGATGTGATGTGATGGGATGGACGGCTAGACCATTTGCCCATAGGGACACCTCCACTCGCTCATTCACTCAGGCGTTCCTCTAATCACTCACCCTCTGGTCCCCTCACCCACTAACTCACTCACTCACTCACTCACTCACTCACTCACTCACCCACTCACACTCTCGCCACACCCGCTCTCAGCCTCTCACTCTCCCACTCACTTGCTCCCTGAGGGGACCTTTGGCTACCACACCTGATCATTCCACAGCACCTTGCATGCCTTCCCCATCACCACTCACAAGCTTCGTAGCTGCTTGAGGCTGCTGATTGCCTCTGGAATGGAGCCTGAGAGATTGCTGCGTTCGAGGTTCCTGGAGAATAATGAGGGTGGGGGCAGCACAGAGAGGGGACGGGTGGCGAGGTGAAGGGCGAGGCATTGGAGGCAGAAGGCAGGGAGGATAGTCATGAGTCATGACTGAGAAATGGAGTGACTTTTGAGTCGACTCAAAAGGCAGGGAGGATGGTCATGACTGAGAAAATGGAAGGGGGAAAGCTGAGTGGTGGATTGATGGATGGATCATGGACGGATGGATGGAAGAACTGCAGAAAAGCGTTTTTTAACAAATAACATGGTAGAACTATGCCATGCAGAATGTTGTATATAAGCATTCATGTAAGTTCTTATTCTACAGCTGACAAAATAATCACAATCTTCCATCAGAATGAAGAAAAGGTAGGAGTAGGGTGGGTGGAGGGAGAATTGAAAGAAGAGGGCAGGTAGAGAGAAGGGACCATTAAAGAAAGCACAGGACACAAGGGTTTCGCAAAATATCAAACTTGCTCAGAGATCGATCGGTTCAGGTTCGACACGGCACTCACAAGTGTTGGAGTTGAGTGAAAGACCCGACACTTGCAGGAATGATGCCTGATGAAAAGTGGTTCCCCGACAAATCCCTGAGATGAGAAGGCAATGACGAAAAGGGCAATGAGGAAAAGGGGAATGAGGAAAGGAGTACAATCACTTGGGTGAAAGCGCTAGGGACAATTTTATATATCTAGGAAGGGAGACTCCTGACAGCACTGCTTTCAGAGGCAAGTGAAGGCACTGGAGTAAGATATAGCTTGCTCTAGAATTCATGATGATCTTGTAGGATTCTTCAATCATGTTCACTTTGAAGTTGCAAACGATATGCACTGATGCTTACGTTCTTCATTCTTGTCTTTTCCACAATCTAAGCGTTGGACTGTTATATATCATGGCCGGACAATCCACATGCACGCATGTGCGAATCAATCTTCGAGTTGAGGGTTTGTATAGGCTTTCCATTTTAGTCATGCGAAACCTCTTCCGTTGTCTTGGGTTGGTTGGCAATATGTGTGCTCAGTTTGAGAGCTCGTAGGATGGGATGGGATGGGATGGGATGGGACGGGGTGGGATAAGATGGGAGGGAATGTGATGAGGTCACACATGCTACAAGGTGAGCTACAAGTCCCCATCATTACTCACAACTGCTGTAGTTGCTTGAGGCTGCTGATTGCGTCTGGAATGGAGCCTGAGAGATTGTTGTAGCTTAGGTGCCTAAAGCATGGAGAGATGAGGGAAGCGCGGAGGGGGGAAGGTGGATAGAAAAAGAGCGGAGAGGGGAAGGGGGGCGTGGGGAAGGGCGGAGAGGGGAAGGAGAGGCATTGAACGCAGGGAGGTGAAATGCAGGGAGAGAATGTTAGAGGAGAAAATGGAAGGGGGGATGCTGAAGTGGGGGATGGGTGGGAGAAGTGCAAAGTTAAATTCTTCACTTCGCAACAACATGGTTGATTTATTTATCTTCTTCTCGTGTGATACGGTGATGTCATCAACTGTTCTGGTAAATTCCTCCTAAGAACCCAGAAAAGGGAAGCTTAGGGCGTAGGGTGACTGGGAGAGAGGGGGGTGAAAGGAGAATTGGAGAGAGGAGGGTGGAGGGAGAATTGGAGTAGGGGGTTTGAGGGACAATGGAAGAGGGGAGGGTGGAGGGAGAATGATCGCACAGGGCGGTGAGTGCGGTGAGGTTGGCAATGCAGGCGGGGATGGTGCCACTCAGCCTGTTGCTGAACACACTCCTGCCGTGTGGTGGCATGGGATGGAATTTGATGGCATTTGATGGCATGGGATGTCAAGGGATGGCATGGGATGGCATGGGATGGCATGGGATGGCATGGGATGGCATGGGATGGCATGGGATGGCATGGGATGGCATGGGATGGCATGGGATGGCATGGGATGGCATGGGATGGCATGGGATGGCATGGGTTTGAAGATGAGCTACAGCATATGTATGTGGCATCTCATTGCAGTGGCGGATGTGGTGCATCCAAAACTAAGGCAAGCAAAGAAAGGGACAACAAGAACAAGAGCAACTTGAGCAACGCTCCAAAGGATCTTGAGATAATTCTCAGGGAGCAGCAGTCGTGAAGCTAGGCTTAAAGCAAAAGAACTAACCGCTAGTATTGCACTCGCTGTGTAAGCGTTCAAAGAGATCTCAGGGGTTTATTATTATTATTATTATTATTATTATTACTATTATTATTATTATTATTATTATTATTATTATTATTATTATTATTATTATTATTATTATTATTATTATTATTATTATTATTATTATTATCATTATTATTATTCCATAAGCTGTTTGGAACAACAAGACCAAGAGCAACTTGAGCAACACTCCAAAGAAAAGAAGGGAGTTACAAGAGCTATTGTAAAGGCACAAGGGACTTTTGGAAAAGGAGTGCAGGCACGGACCCTCCTCAACACGCACGGCTTGCAATGCTTTCCCAGTGCGGTTGACCTGGTAAGTTGAGTTGTGAGAAAAGGCAACAATGGCCGGCAGAATGCACTTCTAGAGCTAAGTGGAGAAAAACTCGTTCTGCGTTTTAAACGCTAGCGTTCAAACGCAGCGTTTAAAACGCAGGACGCAGTTTTGTGGTCCTTTTGAATGCTTAAGAAACGCAAGGCCAGGCAGGGTAAAAAAAACGTACGGGCAGACAAAACAAAATACAGGGGGCCGTGGGTGGGGGGGGGGAGGACATAACTACACATGAACAAGATTTTCCCCCACATAATACTTTTCGGGTTTAGGGATTACGAAGGAGAATACTAAGGTAGGGTTGGGAGGGGTTGAATTTTGGCCAAACAGACATTTGCGACGAAATCGCGAATGTCAATTTCGCGCGCTGGCTTTTTTTTTTTTTTTTCTCCGATCTGACCAAAAAAAAGTTGGCCAAGCGTTCCGCGATTTTCCCTCCATTCAGCGTCCTTCTCCGTTCGAACGCAGAAAGCAATGCGTCCGAAGCCTTTTTGGTTCTGGAGCAACTTGATCAAAAGAGACCACGTCAGCAATGGAGTGATAGGAAGAGCAGGCTAACATCGGTTGCTTGAAGCGCCACCTTCATCCCAGCAGCCCACCCCACTTCCTTACAATTGATTCAGGTTGGTGAGCGCTCCTATTGACTCGGGGATGGGCCCTGTCAGATTGACCTCATCGAGGAATCTGCGGTCAAGTGTGGCACAGTGTGGTGAGGTGTGGGATAGAGAGGGGTGGTGGAGGGGAGTGGTCGAGGTTGGGTGTCGAAAAGTTGATAGCACATGCCTCGCATTCATGTGTCTGCAGTGCATGTGTGTGTGCATCACCACTCACAACTCCTGCAGCTGCTTGAGGCTGCTGATTGCCTCTGGAATGGAGCCTGACCACTTGCTTCTCGTGATATACCTGGTGCATGGAGAGGGTGGGTGAAAACAGGGAGGAGGATTAATGGAGAGGGAAGGCCGGAGGGGAAGGTATGGGTGAAAGAGGAAAGGAGAAACGAAGGGGAAATATGAAAAGGGAGTTGAAAACGCTGTTGGGAGCAGGTGAATAAAGAAAGAGGTGAGTTAACAAAGAGGTGAGTTAACAAAGAGGTGAGTTAACAAAGAGGTGAGTCAACAAAGAGGTGAGTCAACAAAGAGGTGAGGTAACAAAGAGGTGAGGTAACAAAGAGGTGAGTCAACAAAGAGGTGAGGTAACAAAGAGGTGAGGTAACAAAGAGGTGAGTTAACAAAGAGGTGAGTCAACAAAGAGGTGAGGTAACAAAGAGGTGAGGTAACAAAGAGGTGAGTTAACAAAGAGGTGAGGTAACAAAGAGGTGAGGTAACAAAGAGGTGAGGTAACAAAGAGGTGAGGTAACAACGACGTGACAAGGACATGCAGTGTATGGATGGCAGATGGCACATGGCAGATGGCGCATGGCAGATGGTGCATGGCAGCACGCACAGTGAAGTCAAGCCTGTGAGGCTGAAGATCCACCCAGGAAACTCCCCAATCAGTTGAGGATGAACCGACAAGTCCCTGATGATGCACGCAGTCGAGAAAGAAGGAGCAGTCAAGATGCAAGGAGCAGGGATTGGGGGTATGTGGAACCCACGAGTAGTTGAGGAGAGCGAGGATGGGGAAGGTGAAATTGAAAGGCGAGGGGAAATAAAGAAGGGAGAGAGAGCATGGAAGAAGGAGAGGACATGGTAAAGGAAGGGAGCGTGTGAAATTTCCCTTTCATGTCGCAGAGTCGTGCACAATGCTTCACATGCTTCCCCTCAAGGCTTCGCACATCCGGTAGGGTGCGATCACATGCAATCACATGCCATCCCATGCTATCCCATGCCATCACATGCCATCACATGCCCCTCAACCGGCCTTACAGAGACTGCAGCTTCTGCAGCTGGGAGAGCTGCTCTGGTAGTGATTCGAGTACAGGGTTGCGCTTCAAACGCCTGCTTGCACCATGCATGCACCATGCACGCACCATGCACGCACCATGCACGCACCATGCATGCACCATGCACGCACCATGCATGCACCATGCACGCACCATGCACGCACCATGCATGCACCATGCACGCACCATGCATGCACCATGCACGCACCATGCACGCACCATGCACGCACCATGCACGCACCATGCACGCACCATGCACGCACCATGCACGCACCATGCACGCACCATGCATGCACCATGCACGCACCATGCATGCACCATGCACGCACCATGCATGCACCATGCACGCACCATGCATGCACCATGCACGCACCATGCCTGCACCATGCACGCACCATGCACGCACCATGCACGCACCATGCATGCACCATGCACGCACCATGCATGCACCATGCACGCACCATGCATGCACCATGCATGCACCATGCACGCACCATGCATGCACAATGCACGCACCATGCATGCACCATGCACGCACCATGCATACACCATGCACGCACCATGCACGCACCATGCACGCACCATGCATGCACCATGCACGCACCATGCATGCACCATGCACGCACCATGCATGCACCATTTACATGCCATGTATGCACCATGCACGCACCATGGAGGGTCAGGGTTTAGGGTTTCTGGTTGAAAGCTGACCCAGAAAAAATAGTCGGTGGTAACCGTTTTCTGATTAAGGTGACCCAACAAAACTAGGACTGTTGACCAGAGGCTGCTGACAAGTGGGTGAAGGAAAGAAATGAGTAGCACACAATGGTAGGAAGGATCACAGAAATGGGCTGTGAGGGGCCAGATGCGGTGTGAGGGGCCAGATGGGGTATGAGGGGCCAGATGGGGTGTGAGGGACCAGATGGACATTGAGTGATCGCAGAGTCCAGTGGAGGCACAACTCTTTAAGCCTCATCTTGCTCCATCCCTTGCATTCATTCTCTCACCTCATGCACCCACTAACCCCCTCACCTGCTCATCCTCTCATCCTGCAATTCACATACCCACCCACCCACCCATCCACCCACCCGCCCACCCGCCCACCCACTCACTCCCCCCCCACCCGCCCCCCCCCCCCCACAGCGCACTGACAGGCGGGTGAGCTGCTGCAGATTGCCCAGCTCTTGCGGAACGGAAGCTTTGAGATTGCCGTGAGAGGCGGTGCTGCTGCATTGATGGGGCCGTGGCAGGCAGGCATGGGGGAGAGGACAGGGAGGGGAGACAGCAGGGAGGGGAAAGAGGAGAACGAGGGAGTAGGGGTAGGTCAGCAGACGAAGTGGTGGGAGATAGGAGAGGAGTCTCACGGGAGCAACAGTGGTGATGGAAGGGAGAGTGGGAGGAGTGTGCTGGCAGCAGGTGTTGGGCCTGTTGCTGGGGTGGAGAGGATCCCAATCACGCGAAATGGAAGGGGTGATTCAGGCAAGCAGTTGGGCATGCAGTTGGGCATGCAGTTAGGCATGCAGTTGGGCATGCAGTTCAGCATGCAGTTGGGCATGCAGTTGGGCATGCAGCTGGGCGTGCACACACAGGTTGATGTGGAGAAGAAAAGTGGGCGGCTGATGCAAAACAGGTGGGCCTTGGTGCTGTGACAGCCCTTGACAGAGAGAAGAGGGAGGTGCATGAGAGAAGAGGGAGATGCTTGGGAAAATAGATCAAACTGACCCGCCCATGTGAGAAGACATTCTGCCTGGGGTATCCGGGAGCAAGCGAGTCAGTTGATAGCAATACTCTATATTACTGCAGGCAGTCAGCACACGCAAAGATGGTGGATGGGTGGGTGGGTGGGTGGATAGATGGATGGATGGATGGATGGATGGATGGATGGATGGATGGATGGATGGATGGATGGATGGATGGATGGATGGATGGATGGATGGATGGATGGATGGATGGATGGATGGATGGATGGATGGATGGATGGATGGATGGATGGATGGATGGATGGATGGATGGATAGACGGGAAAAACAAGCAAGGGCAGTTCAAGAAAGTGGAGGAAAGTCGGGGACGGAACGAATGAGGGTCATGAGGGAGGGAGAGTGAGTCAGCAGGAGTCTCACAGATCGTTCAGGTGGGACAATGTGAAGAGAGCCGAGGGCAGGGAAAAGATGTCAGCACACTCTCTGATGGAGCTGTAGGTGGAGGAGGGCACGGAGGGAGGGAGGACTAAAGTCGAATCAACTACTGGTTTTGCAGATGCAAAGGGAGCTGAAATAGAGGGAAGGGGATAATGCAGGGAATTCAGTGCAATGACATGCTTACAGTGCAATGACATGCTTACAGTGCAATGACATGCTTACAGTGCAATGACATGCTTACAGTGCAATGACATGCTTACAGTGCAATGACATGCTTACAGTGCAATGACATGCTTACAGTGCAATGACATGCTTACAGTGCAATGACATGCTTACAGTGCAATGACATGCTTACAGTGCAATGACATGCTTACAGTGCAATGACATGCTTACAGTGCAATGACATGCTTACAGTGCAATGACATGCTTACAGTGCAATGACATGCTTACAGTGCAATGACATGCTTACAGTGCAATGACATGCTTACAGTGCAATGACATGCTTACAGTGCAATGACATGCTTACAGTGCAATGACATGCTTACAGTGCAATGACATGCTTACAGTGCAATGACATGCTTACAGTGCAATGACATGCTTACAGTGCAATGACATGCTTACAGTGCAATGACATGCTTACAGTGCAATGACATGCTTACAGTGCAATGACATGCTTACAGTGCAATGACATGCTTACAGTGCAATGACATGCTTACAGTGCAATGACATGCTTACAGTGCAATGACATGCTTACAGTGCAATGACATGCTTACAGTGCAATGACATGCTTACAGTGCAATGACATGCTTACAGTGCAATAACATGCTTACAGTGCAATAACATGCTTACAGTGCAATAACATGCTTACAGTGCAATGACATGCTTACAGTGCAATGACATGCTTACAGTGCAATGACATGCTTACAGTGCAATGACATGCTTACAGTGCAATGACATGCTTACAGTGCAATGACATGCTTACAGTGCAATGACATGCTTACAGTGCAATGACATGCTTACAGTGCAATGACATGCTTACAGTGCAATGACATGCTTACAGTGCAATAACATGCTTACAGTGCAATGACATGCTTACAGTGCAATAACATGCTTACAGTGCAATGACATGCTTACAGTGCAATAACATGCTTACAGTGCAATGACATGCTTACAGTGCAATAACATGCTTACAGTGCAATGACATGCTTACAGTGCAATAACATGCTTACAGTGCAATGACATGCTTACAGTGCAATAACATGCTTACAGTGCAATAACATGCTTACAGTGCAATAACATGCTTACAGTGCAATGACATGCTTACAGTGCAATGACATGCTTACAGTGCAATGACATGCTTACAGTGCAATGACATGCTTACAGTGCAATGACATGCTTACAGTGCAATAACATGCTTACAGTGCAATGACATGCTTACAGTGCAATAACATGCTTACAGTGCAATAACATGCTTACAGTGCAATAACATGCTTACAGTGCAATGACATGCTTACAGTGCAATAACATGCTTACAGTGCAATGACATGCTTACAGTGCAATGACATGCTTACAGTGCAATGACATGCTTACAGTGCAATGACATGCTTACAGTGCAATGACATGCTTACAGTGCAATGACATGCTTACAGTGCAATGACATGCTTACAGTGCAATGACATGCTTACAGTGCAATGACATGCTTACAGTGCAATGACATGCTTACAGTGCAATGACATGCTTACAGTGCAATGACATGCTTACAGTGCAATGACATGCTTACAGTGCAATGACATGCTTACAGTGCAATGACATGCTTACAGTGCAATGACATGCTTACAGTGCAATGACATGCTTACAGTGCAATGACATGCTTACAGTGCAATGACATGCTTA